GACAGGCTCCGTGGAGAGCGCCCTCTACCGGTCGTAGGCGGCGCTGCTGCGGATGAGCCGGGCGGGCTTGCGCCTGGCTGTTTGCTACCATTGCCTACCTCACTGCCTAAGCCTGGATGGACAAGGAGCGGGGAGCGGGGAAGAAATCCCTAAGTAAGTCTCGCTTTTCTTACTCGCTGGGTCCTGCTCTTGCACCGACTGGTCCTGCGGTTGGAATGGTGTTCCCGACCCCTGCCCCATTGCCATGTGTAGGATCCTGCTTGCCTCCAGACCCAGCTCAGTGACTGCCTTAAAAGACTCCCTGGAGCATCATCTCCACAACATCTGTGTTGCTGCACCGAAGGATCTTCTCAGTTTTTACCTTTCCTGTCTCTCTCCCTTTAATGATGTTCCTTGGGCTTCGCTAGCACCACAACTGCCAATTTTCCCTACTACTTTTCTGGTTACTCCTTTCCCTTCTCCCTTGCAGAGTTTCATCTGCCCACTTTTTAAATGTTGGTGCTTTAGGGGACCTCATTCCAGGCCCTCTTCTCTTCCCATTCTTTTGTGACTGACACACTTCATTTGGGGAAGCTTATACTAATTAGCATTTCAAGCAGCCACCAAAATTTTTTTCTCTCCCTTGCAAAAATTGGATTAAAAAAAAAAAACTTTGCCAATTCTTGGTCATTTACATTAAGTGAAAAACAAAACTGGTTGGTAACAGCACATGTAGTATGATCCCCTTTATGTAAAATCATTTGTGCCTGTGTGTGCCTAGAGGTGCTGGAGGGCAGACTGCCAGTCTCTCTCCCTTTTCCCTCCTCTGGATGTTTTCAGTTCTTTAAATATACCAAATTATTTCCCGCCTCAGGACCCTTTGGGGATCAGTGCAGAAAGCCACAGTCAATCCCAGCCAAGGAAAAACTCTGCACCCTGATCCCCAGACCCTCCTCCTGCCCCAACCGGCTGGAGGCAGGTGTAGAAGAGGAGGAGGCAGTCTCTGAGCCCAACCTAGGGGGAGGAGGGGAGCCCTAAGGCAGATGTAAGATGGGAATTTTAAAGACTTGGCTACATTTTTTAAATACTTGAAAGTAAGATGGGAAATAAGATAGTTTTACCCTAGCTGGTTTGGCTCAGTGGATAGTACCAGCCTGCAGAGTGAAAGATCCAGGTTCGATATTGGTCAAGGGCACAAACCTTGTACTTTGGTTGCAGGCTTCATCCCCAGCCACCGTGTATAAGCCCCAAATTCTTACTGCCCCCTTGAGTCATATTTTTCTGTGAACTACTGTATAAGTATGTGAATAAAAATCTCTTTTCTCTTGCTAACCTCTTTTGGCAGTTTAATCAAACTCCACAGTTTATTTGCATTTTACTATTTCCCCCTAATGTTCTTTTTCTGCTCTGGGATCCTATGTGGGGTATATTATATTCACTTGTCATATCTCCTAGCGTCTTCTGGTCTGTGACAGTTTCTCAGACTTTCCTTGGTTTTGATAACTAACAGTTTTTAAGGAGTGCCAGTCAGGTATTTTGTAGACTGTCCCTCAATGGGATTTGTCTGATGTTATTTACTTGGGTAGATGGGGATTATGGGTTTGGGGGAGGATAATCACAGAGTGTGGACAAAAATAGAAGTCCTATGAAAGTAACCTCACCGGGTGATCTGATCATAAATTTCTAACTGGGCCCTGGCTGGTGTGTTCAGTGGTTAGAGCGTTAGCCCGTGCACTGGGTGTGTGGGAGCCAACCAATGGATGTGAGTCTCACATTGATGTTTCTCTCTCTTCCCCCTTCCCTTCTTTCCTCTCACTCTCTCTAAAAAGCAATGGAAAAATATCCTCAGTGAGGATTAATAAAAACAACAAACTGGGCTAACAATGGTGAATTTTCATCAAGAAATTCTATGAAGCAATTCCATTAAGCCAACTTAATTCTTGGATCAATTTACTATGCAGTGCATTTCCATTTTATTGCAATTATGTTCATTGGGATCCAGTTTTTTTATACACTTATAATAGATATTTACTGTCAATTTGGAGTTCATTTCAAATTTTACCAATGGTATCTTCTGCTACTGAGTTCTCTTGTGGCCACTATACCTGCTAAATTTAAATTTCCCAAGCCAAAATTTTGACTTAAATTTTGTCAAGATTTCATTCTTCAATTAATTTTTAAACATGTGCAGTTTTAGCTGTTTTGAATATATTTGTTGGTAATGTTCATTATAACTGACTGAATATAGGCTGGTGGATAAGATTTAATTTTTGGTTAGTATATGAGAAAACTGACCAATTTCCAAGGTTTCTCTAAAGAGTGAAAAACAAAGTAGGTCCTTGGAATCAAAAGGTCCTGCTCAAAAACAGGAAGAGACTTGGGGGAGCTCGTAGAACTGCTAATTTCACCATATCTGATTTTGGGAATTCCATATTTAGTGATGATCTTGGTGCCAAAACATCAGCAATGGAGAATTTGGCTGTCTTCTGAAGGGAGTACTTGGATTCCTTGTGGGCCTCTTGGTTAAAATTACATAAAAGCAGGTTGAAGAATTACTTGGTCTCCTTCCAGGTAAGCTAACATGCTAACTTAAGTCTTCTATATCTTACTACTCCAATATAAGGAAAGATAAACTCAAGGAAAAGTATGTAAGACAGAAGGGGAAAATATTTTTGTCTCCAAATTCAGAGAAATAGGTCAAAACTAACTATCTGCTCATGGCTTTTTCCTGGGTCTCACCCTGGTTCTTCCCACTTGGTTCTCTATTAAGGGGCAATATAAGGGCATCTCTTCTTTGGTGTCTCCGTGTCTGTCTGTCTGTCTGTCTGTCTCTCTGTTAAACACTTTATTTAAAGCTAAAAAGACATACACAGCCCTAATCGGTTTGGCTCAGTGGATGGAGCGTTGGCCTTCGGACTGAAGGGTCCCAGGTTCGATTCTGGTCAAGGGCATGTACCTTGGTTGTAGGGACATCCCCGGTGGGGGGTGTGCAGGAGGCAGCTGATCGATGTTTCT